CTTTCGAAATCGCTATGCGAACCTCTCTGTCTTTCTCAGCCATATGCACCCCTTCCTGCGGCACCAACAACTCGCTTACACCATCTACGTTATTGATCAGGTACGTTGGGGGAGATTTTCTTACAGCAGAGAAGCTAACTCATGCAGAGTCCTGATCGAAATTGGAGTTGGAAGTTTAGCATACATTGGGTCTGTTTATTTTGAGCTGATGAGTGGACTTGAGCCTGAGAAAGCGTTTTGTAAAGGAAAACGGCATGTTTAGTTCAGTTTATTTAAGGCAGAGATTTGACGACATCGGAGGTTTCCGGATATCGAACACATTTTCTGTGCCTCTTAACATGACAAAACGAAACCGTTTGTTTATATGTGTTGTGCTATAGGAGAACACCGATAAAAGCGACGAAAGTTCCAAATATATTCCTTCCAGAACCGGAGAATCTAGTGTTAAGTTGATGAAACGCAGGTCAAGGTAGGTTTAAGGATCGCAGAACTTTGTAAGCCACGGGAAGGTATAGATGCGTGTTTGCGGAGTTCGCATCTGGATACCATGCCTCAAGCGTCAGTAGTTCCACTTTTGAGGTGCCTTGGCCTATAATGATCGCCCCTTGAATATCGAAAGTGTGGCCAGTGTCTGCTATATTGACTACAAGGCGCGACTTTGGGTCTTGTTTACAAGTCATCAGTTTGCGCTCATGTAAACACGCCCTCATCTGGTTCCTCCAACACATTCACAGTCCATATCGTTGCAATGTATTTGGTAGGCAACTGCGGAAGTTACAGTTGGGGGCATTCAGTCACTAGGCTGCATCACGCAGCAGCGTTTTGTCACTTAGGGTCAACGGGCTATGCGTACTCCAGCCGGGTCGTAACTGTCAAGAGACTGTTTAGGAGACTTCATTTACATAGCGCATGACCCTCCAGATTTCCGATTGCTATTCCTTTGGCCGTCCTCTGTTCACTCGGCATTTATTTGAGTATCCACTAGCTCGGTAGAGCTTATAAAGGTCTTAGTGTGCAGCTCTTCTGTCAGCTGGCTTACTGCAGCGTGTTTCAACTTTTTAGAATGGAGCATGCAACCCTCATCTTTGCGTACTTGAACTCTACTACATTCCTTATTATTTTTGCTACGGATACGGGAAAGCTGAAATTTGCTTAGTGCTATTGAAAATCAGTCAGGGTCGTAGTTCCCCACAGCATTAAATATTCAAACCGCGTGCCACGTAATTAAAGTTCTACATTTGCCCTTATTTTTTGTAAACCTTCACGAATACCTTATGGTCGGCTATACTGCATTTTTCTTTCAAAATTTGCAATATGTGCTTTTTTAAAGCTGACTTTGCGCTGTGTTTGTATTGACCTTCACCTGGTTTTAATTGAAGCAAGATTAGATTTTGCCTTTCTAGAAGGGATTTATTTACGGCTTTTCCTACTGACACTA